TTCCTGACACTAAATCTAAGCGACCTTTCGTTAGGGCTGTTGAGAAGAAAATTCAACCATGATTTGGTTGAACTCAGTGTTATATATCGCCTCTTGGAGTTTAAAGTCTGTTTTTGGAATATATCTGTATTTTTTTACGTGTACAGGTGTTTCGTCTGCATGTGTGTCTGTTAATGGTACGCAAGCAGTGCTCAAGGAGGGTGCTCAGCCCGACGTGCCTGTCATGCATTTTCCAGAACCTATTCTGCAGACCTACATACAGACATATTGGGGAGTGTGTTTACCCTGCTGGTGCCCATTTTTCATTGTCTGATTTTATTTTTTCTTGAGGTTCTTGGGAGATGGAACAACTGCATTATCATGGGTCACACCAACTTGGGTAGGTGATTTGTTTGAATCTGGGGGTGACCTGATGAAGATGTCAGGTGCCCTGGAGCTGGAGTTAGAGACAGTTGTGAGCCATCATGTGGGTGCTGGGGGTCGAACCCAGGTCTTCTGGGGTCAAGGCAAAGATTTTCTGAGTGTTTATGGGGGAGTTGCAGCCGGGGGAGGCTTGGTGCAGTACAGAGTAGATCCTCCTTGTGTCTGCATCAGTAGACTGAACATGTGAGTTGTCGGATCTGGGGATTGGCTGGCTTTGGTTGCTGCCCTCAGTATCTCAGCTCTCTGTGCTTGCATTCCTTCTTCAGGCCCATCCTATGGCCCTACAGGCAGAGTACTGCAGAGTGTGTTGAACCTGTTGGTGTTCATTTTCATCCTATCATTTCTTTTGTTCTCTCGCAGTGCTGGGAACTGGAACTGCCGCTTTATAATGGTTCCCACTGGCATGGGGAGGATAGGTAAGGGTGCTGGGATTTAATGTGCTCATCTCTGTGTCTGTCCTCGGTGTGGGAGCAGAGTTTCCAGGTGGGATACCTGAGAGAGGGAAAGAGGGTTAGACTGAACTCCAACTCTGAAAAGAACAAACAGGATTTCAAGAAAAACTTTTTAAGAGGCTCAATCATGCTATCGTGTAGTCTTTAACATAAGTTTAACCTGAGAGTCTAATTTCCAGCCTTGCGCCATGTATCCGGGCAGCTGAAGTTACTAGCTTTTTTAATTCACCTTCAAACAGCTCTCATTCTAGTTCAGGGGGACAGAAAGACAGGAAATTTGCGGGGAGAGATGCCTGTCACGCCAGAATCTGGTTGTAACACTTTGCCAGCAGAGAAATAAAAAGTGCAGCACAATTAACAGTTGCTTAAGGCCTTTCTCCCTTCACAGCTGTGAACACTGTAATTCTCTAAGACTCTTCACCAGATATCCCTAGTCAGAGAAAGGACGTGTACTAAACTCCTTGTGCAACCCTGGTGGTGGCTTCTGGTTTTACCTTATCAGATTACAATTCCATCCAAGCCATCTCCAGAGCCTTTTTATAATTTTATTTATCATGATAGAGAAAAGAAGAAACTGTTTCTTAGCAACCGTTTTAGATATAACTCAAGAGTTAACAAAAATGTAGATATGGCTAATGCTAAAACAATTGAGACTCCTTGAGGAAGCCCCACCTACACATGAGTCTGTGTTATTTTCGTGATTGTCTTGCAGAGAAGCCTACACTCAAGCCCGTGGGTGAGTCTTCCTCCCCCCCCCCCCGAGTACCCTGCTTTCTCCTATCCCCCACACTTAAGCCTACATTAAAATTTCTTTACCAAAATATCCAACTCCACTTCATAAATTAGCCCTAAATTTCTTTTCTGCATGGAAGCCACGAATCCAGACTTGAGGTCCCCCAAGTATTAAAGGAACTCCCCAGTTTGTGAGGGTGTGGAACTGTGTCACACTGTCCTCTCATTTTTGACACGGCGAGGGAATAAAAGGTGCTGAGATAAAAACAGAAGAAGGCTCCTCTGTGCTTGGCAAGTGGGGGTGACTGGGGAAGGAGAAGACATTGGGATTGGTTTTCAGGGATTGCTGAGGTTGCCCTGCACTCTGTGGGGAAAGGCTTCCCAGGAAGAGGGCAAGGAGCCAGCCCAGGACTAGGGTCATACTCTGTTGGAAAAGTCAAATAGTTTATGTAGACTCTGTAATGAACTGTGTCCAGGAAAGCGGTGATCAATGACACTGCCAACATACTTTGGAGCCATCCTCACCTAAATGCAGGAAATCGCCCGAGTGCCACCTGAAGTTATTTTTGAAAACATGGTCTGGAGTTTCATGAACTGTCATTAAATATGGCCAACGTTGTATGCTCCAAACTGTGACCAGAAATCTTGCTATATTTTCCTTTGACCACCTTAGGAATGTATTTCTAAAATAATCCGTTTAAGGTCAGCCAAAATAAGTCATAATCAGGAGAGCCTATCTTCTGGAATGACTATTGGATAAGACAGGATGAAATATATATCAAGATGACTTGGAGTCATGTCCAGTTCACTAGGTATCACCAATGGGTGCTCTAAGGAAACTTTATCTGACCTGCTATGGTCAGATTTGGGAGCTATGTGGAGCTTGTTATGTCTAGGGTTGTCCTGGTGAGTGTGTGCCGGCAGGTGATCCTATCTACAACAGTTGGAACTTCAGGAATTTCCTTTGGATGGTCTGTTCCTGGGTGGTGCATAATCTGTTTGTGGTCCTTCCTGCAACCAGGTATTGCCTCAGGGTAAACTGCTGAAACTCAGGCCTCTATGGGGCTTATCATGGCTGGGTTCTACAATAGCATAAAGTACTCCTCAGATCACAATGAAGTGAATTTGGGAGTTTTGCTTTATCTCCATTATGAGTGTAGCTGATTTGAAATGTGAACACAATGCTTTAAGTTTAAAATGGTTAAGGTGCTTTTATTATAAAGTGTAATATCTTATTGGGGAGAACAGCAGCAAGGGTTTACGTGTGTGGAATATGAACATAGAAGAGTATAAGGGGAAACAAATCTCCCACCTAAGCAAGGCACCCAGAATCACAAGGAGCATTTGGGGGCACATGTTTTCTTGTTACAGGTTAAGCTCATTAAAATGAGTTTTAGAAACATAACATTTCATGTCTACCACTTCCCTTTTGTATGTCTTTATGAGGATAGCCTGCTCACTCTTAACTCATTTATTAAACTTCCTTAATGTTCTCCAACTAGAATGTTAAAGTTGCAATCAGTGGAAAGGTGTGTGATTCAGACAGTAATTTAATATTGACAAAGGATCCAGCTGAAATTCAAGTTCTGATACATAAATAAATACTACAAAGACCTAGGTATCCGTTCTTTCTCTAGACCATCAAGTCTACAATATAACACCGAGGATGTGCCCAATAAAGATTGGTTTCTTGAATAAATGAAGGAATGGGTGTGTGTAAAATGTTGTTTATTCTCCCCCCCCCCATTCACTGGCAAATGCCCTGTTTGGGTTAGACAATGGGATGCAAATAGCTCAATTGGATGCCACACATACCCCCTGGGAAGCTACACGTGCCGGCGGGGCAAGCTCCTTTCACTGGTACTTGTGACTTCTCTGTGGGAACCAGCTCTTGTTAAAAGTTAGAGAAGGGACTGCTGGTCTGCCCAGTTTAGATCCTGAACTCTTGAGAGGACTCCAAACAGTCCAGCCTCTGCCGTAGATCCCCAGAATCCTTCCGTCCCTGCTTCATTCCAACTTGTCCCTGCCCAGAGGCAGCGTGCAGTGGAGGCGATTCCTCAATGGAGAAAGACTAGAGGGAATGAGACAAACCCTCTCAGGAAGTCTTAGTTTGTCTTAGGAGGAGACAAACCCCTCCGCCACCACAGCAGCTGGGTCCAACTGGAATCCTCAGATAAGACCAGTTCTGGCCAAAACTGGTTTGGCAGCTCTGGGGGAATGTTTCTGGCTGACTGACCCTCACAGCAGGTGCTGGTAGTTTTGAAAGAGAAAAGGGGAAAGGGGGAGGTGGGGGTGGACTAAAGGAACTAAGGAGGGTGGCTAAATTCAAACCACTAAACTTTGGCTCACTTGCAAGTTTACACTTGGGGATTCTCATAAAATTACTACCAGCCCACCAGCCTCAATCCTTCCCTCACCCTCCCGTCCTTTGCAAAATAGTTTTGTTGCAATGCAGTTTGTTCTGCAGCGCGATTGTCGAAACTACTGAATTCGGCCGAAAGCGACTTTTAGCAGTGTTTTCCCCCACTCTGCCATGGTACTGTTATTATTAAGGCTATTGAATCTCCGCTCTTTCCCCTCCTTACAGCAATCGCACTCCGGCTGTGATTGCTCGGGTCTGACTTCGCAAGTGGCGGTGCGCTTCCAAACCCCCTCATCCGCCCCTCGCCCGGCTCTCCCCACTCCCTCCTTTTCCGCGCCCAGGCGAGAGCAGCCGATTGGCAGAGCGGGGCTTTCAGGAACAATAACAGTGGGGGGAGCCGGGGCCCCGGGGAGCTTCCCCGCCCCGGCCCGGCTGCGGCTCACGCCCCCCGCG